ACCATGCTTGACCTCAGAGCTCCTCTAGCAATGCTGATGGACCCCAAGGGCGGGATTCACCTCACCCGACAGCAACGCAATCTACATTTAGCTGGTTGCTGTAAATCCCTTCACAGTCAGTGCAGAGGGAGGGGCAGCATATGGATAGCAAGACTCCTGTAGATATTCCTGCAGGCTCGTCGCTCCCTAGGGGTGCCCCTTGCCCTTCCATCGGCAAGTAAGGGATCCAGAGAGCTAGTGCAGGTGCAGACGTCTGCACTGTAGACATCTGAAGGCAAGGACGTAAGTCTCACACATAAACCTCATGTTAATTTAGAGGAGGTTGCGTCCCACCTGTGCCACAGCAGCTCTGCAAAAGGTCTGCCTCTCGTCTTCCAAGACAATGCCATTCTTTCTTCTGACAGATTCTCCTTTGAAAGTGGGAGCTCTCTTAAGTGCTCTTAGGCGATACAATGAATTTTTACTGTGACAGATCATCCCACCACGCTGCTTGCCAGGGATCTGCATCAGATTTCGGAGAATTTTGTGAATCAGCTCCTCTACTTCTCTTTGTTCGTATTTCTTAGTGTGAAACCAGCCTGATGAAAGAGGAGAGCAAGGAGGACAGATAGCTAGGGTGAAGGGCAGATGAGGAGAGCTAGTTTATTTGCATGTAATACATACCAGAAGAAACTTCCAGATGATTCAGAAATGACCAACTGTGCAGAGAAAGAGTTTATATAAACAATCTATAACCTTAGTACATTATATCCACGTTAACTTCCTTCCTCGTCTTGGTTATGCTCCCTCATTGGTTTTAAACTTCACATTGGAAATGGGTAGAGACACAGACCTTCCCCCCACCCCCCTATCTGGCTTGTTTGACCACCGCCTAAAACACAAGTGCTGCTTCTGACTGGGTCAGAGTCACCACCCTAAACAAACAACAACAAGAAATTAATTCAGAGCAAAGAGTAACTTTAAAAAGTCTTTTTTCAAGATAGTTTTCTCTCAAACCTTACCTATACTGCCCTCTAAAACCTAAAAATAATTTTATAAGTCTGACTGAGCTCATACTGCGGTATTTTTTCCTCCTCATATTGTAACTTCTTCACAAACATGCTGCCATTTTGTCTTTCTCATTGTACCGGGCTTTGCTGGCTAAGCCGTCTCAATGAGGAAGAAATGCTGCAAGTAAATACACAATGCGTAAGTTACCGAGGGTACAGGACATTATTGCTTAAGTAACTAATGTTTCCCTCCACACCACTGAATAACCTACATATGACTACAAGATGTTAAAAACTGGAAAATTCTTCTAGTGATTAACTCCCATGTCTCAAACCACAGGAACACACAGAAGCGTCCAGCAAGCAAGAGACTGGTGAACAACTATTAGCGATACACGGACTGCTGTTCTCTGAATGCTGTCAAGTGACGGAAAACATCCAATAATTTGGAATGTTGTGGAATTAGGATCCCTGCTGTTTTCCCACGGAAAGTTCGCCTTTGGGAGGCAGAAACATCCCCTGGGCTAAAAGGACAAGACAGAGAGAGCAGACATAGGAGTCAACTGAGCCCAAACTTCTTTCTGTGAAGAGCTTTCCCGCCATGAAGTAGGATTGACTCACATCAGCACATGAGGGACAAATGCAGAAGGAGGACTTCAACATCTTTTCATTTATGTAGATGAGCATCTGTCTGACGTTGGTACAAATGGCTCTGTCGAGAAAAATGCAGCAGATGCCAGTGCGATGGGCAGGACCCAAGAAAATATTGCCCGGTGAGGAACTTCATTTTTGTCCAAGGATTGTCTATGGCTGCTTGTGGCTACCATGTCGGAGGGGGCCCATCTGCTGGTGACCAGAGCAGGCACTCTGAACCGGGCAGGAGCAGAAACTGATGGCAAAGCCATGAGCTGACCAGCGCACCACCTGCACACGAGGACCGGTCCTCTTTGCCGCCTGCAGCCTGCCATTCGCTTTGCAGCAGCAGCTATTCCAGAGACCCTGAAGCTTCTTATTCTCAAATACCAAGTTGAGGAAATAAAAATTAACAGTGAACACACAGCAGACCCCAGCAGTGAGATGGGGAGCCGGTACTGTAACACGAATCTCTTTGCTCCTGCCGTGGACGGCACAGATACTTGTGGAAAGAAGATACCTTTGGCTCCCCTACAGAGATCCAGAGCTGAGATTAATGGCAACTGTGAGGGCTGCTTTCCCCTTTATGCGATGCATGCTTTAAAGCTGTGGCCTCCTGCCATCTTGAAACACAATCTTGTGGTATTGTCTTCATTCAGGCCCCTCATCAGCAATGTGAAAAGAGAGAAGAAGCTGGTGGCAGGATTAGAGGAGACGTTGAAATATTCTGGGCAGCATATGCTGTAAGTCACATTATACAAAGAGCATTATTGGCCTGCTCATTGGCTAGGGCTTTCCCTTCTGGAAGCACTGCTGCTTGTAAAAAAGAAAACCTGGTGAAAAGTGTTTATAACACATCAGACCACAGCATATGACACACTGAGCACAGTGACAGACACTGAAAATATTTTTCAGGCCCTGTCTGCCCTGCTCCTAGGAGATCCTTTTGTACTCGTCAGGGTTATGCAAGACGCATGGGAAAAAAGGAGAGAGAGAAGTGAGAATAATAATTCAGAAGGGTATTAATAAACATCCTAAAATTACCGTCATCTGATGACCCATCTCAACCTTAAAACTGAGTACTTTAGCCTTGGAAGGCTGCTTGAGACCCTCATTGTTTTAGAAGTGAGAAACCACCTTTTGTTGTCCACTTTAAATTTATTCATGGCAAATTATACCCATTTTTCTTAAGACTACCAATGTTCTTAACTGAAACAGGTTATTTTCCTTGCCCGTCCATAAAGTATTTACCGAGTGCAGTCATATTCCCTCTGAGACTTCATTTGATTTCACTAAATAAGCCAAGCTCCTTTAGTCTCCTTTCCCATCTCCATTCTCTTGGTCGCCTTTCTAGTTCTTCTGCGCACTGGTTCCAGTCTGCAGTCACCTTTCTTGACTATGACCAGGACAGCCCATGATTGACCAGACCTATACACAGGGTTCCACATGAACTTGTAAGAAACCATATTTCTTGTACTACTTTCTTTTTTTTTTTCCTGAAAAGAGGCTCCTCTTTGTCCTATATACATAAAGGAAAACGAACTAAAGTGAATTTCCCATCTCTAAAAGCTACTTGGGAAGTTCTAAATATTCAGAGTCAATCTTTCTTGGAAACCCTCAGCTGTACAAGATTTCCACAACTGAAACATATCCTTCTGAAGTCTGGGGAACATTACAAATGTACAAGGGCAACTGCGCTCGTTTAAAGTGTCAAGCTCAGTTTTAGTGGCATGTTTTAAAAATCTTCAGCTTTCATCAAACTGGCTTCAAACCACAAGTTGTTTTGGCTCCTGACACTATCCCTGTGGTCAGACATTTTTCTTGTCATGAAGGAACCATTTTCCTCTTCTGGATCAAAAAGCAGTGCACGGTCTTGTCTACAACTTGGAGCGCTTTAACAAGTTTTCACAGTTTTCTTTTTGACCCCCTGGACACAGACCATCACTTACCCATCTTATTGCAAACATCTTCCTAAGTAGCAGCGGCACACATAATTATGCCTTGCCTCAAGTCCTTTTTTTCCTCAGAAAAAGAGGTAAAAAGCTGCCAAAAGCTTCATATTTTGCCATATGGAGGAAAAAGGATTTGTTCTCGGGAGCTGGGGGGACTAGAGAGAAGACATACAATTAAAAATTTCATTTACAGTATCATGCAAAAGTGCAGCAAGGTATTTCTAAACAGAATCACAATTCTAAAAGGGATCTCCAAGTCTCCAAAATGATACAGATTTGCTGAATTAAGTTATTCTTTGAACTATTGTCCTTCCCTCAGTTTAGGGATTTAGAGATATTGAATTCTCATCCTTCTAAATCAAACACTTCCTCCCCGAATTGTAATTTCAGATTAGAGAAAGCACAGGGTTCTCAGCCTACTGAATATGTGAGTTTTCCAGCCACCAGCAGAGGTGCGCTGGCTCAATGCGTCTTTCCCCTTCCCCAGTAGAATCGCCATGGATGAGTCAGCTCCCCTCCTTCACCTCAGCTGTTCCATTCTTTAAACCGGGGTAATTACTTCTCTCACAAAATCATGTGGTAAATTCAGATCTAATCTAGGCTTTGAGCTTAAAGAGATACAAAAATGCTAGCAGGAACTCCATTTAGTCATCACAGTTTTGAGCAAAGAGAAAGGCACCAATTAAGTTTCCAAGGGCAAGTACAGTGCTACTGCACGAAAGCTCCACACTAAAATTGTACTGTAACACCTTCTCTTCATGCATGTCTCACCCAAGTAAACTTGGGTGGCTACTAATCTAGTCACATTTAAAACAAAAAGCAAGACCTGATAGCTTCCGTGCCATGCCTGCAAAATATTTACTTCTACATTGGAAGGCTATAATTATCTCTGGTACTAGAGCAACTTTATCCTGTGCTAAAACCTTGCTAGGATTTCTTCCATAAAATAACAAACTTTGACACAGACAGTACTTAAGCACCACCATAGGGATATAGAAAAAACACAGATATAAGCTAAAGAGCAAGAGAGGAAATGTCAATGGAATTACCTTACTGCACTAATACAGTCCAACCTAGCATTTTAAGAGGTCATCCAACCACCTCTTTTATTTGCAGAACAAAGCAGGGTCAGTCAGATTTTGCTCTGCTTGACTCAAAGATTTCTCAATACTTGTAAATTCTCCATATAACCAGACACAGAGATTAGAGGACACAGTTTTAATTAAGCTTGTATAAGTGTGAAAGAGTACTGTTGATTCAGAAGGAGTTACAAAAACACAAAAAGTATACATCTATGTTGGAATAAGAAATTAAATGCAGTAAAACCTATATCTGATTTTTTTGTTTTACAAGGAATGTTTTCAGTATCTGCCTAAATTAAGCTTTGGAGCTGAAACACCAATCCAAAAGCAGTGCCTTGCACAGATTATTCTTCCTTGCCAAACAGGTCATCCAGAAGAGGTAAGTATTTGACCCCTTTCACAGGAAACGATGGCGGTTGTCGGCTCCAGTCATCTTCATTCTGAAATTAGCAACCCAGAGAATATCTTAGAATATAATATTGAACACAAGAACAATTAAAAGCTGGGCAACATAAGATTGAATGAGCTGCTTCATTTCCACATACAAATCTGTGAAAAAGTGGATGTTTATATAGCACATCCTCTTAAAAGATTACTACATGCACTTTTTTATCAATCATAGAATCATAGCAGAATATCTATTAAAAATATTTTCTATCATTATCCCTTTTGCAGATATTTTCAAATTAAATAACTCTGTATTTTCTTCATTAAGACACTTATACTTGAAAGTCTTGCAAGTCATTATGTCTCAACACCAAAAATCATATAAAATAATGAGTGAGAGAAAGAAGAAAAAAGCCATCTAAACAAGCACAACTCTATTGCTGAAATCTATCTGTCAAATACAGGTACCCAAAATATTTGTTAATTCATGGTGAGTCATGAACAGAATGACAATTGGATTCTGAAGTTGAACAAGATTTAAATTCCTTCCTTTCTCTGATTTTTTCCATTTCATTTTGACCTCTTCATTGAAACATTCTTGTACTGTACCCAAGATAGCCTAGGTACTGCAGCTATCTAACAAAGTAATAAAGTCAATAAAAGTCAGTAAACTATACTGGCACCAACTTGGGCACAGTTCATTAAAAACAGTGCTGTATGTCAGCGTGACAGTTACAGCAAGGCTGTGAAGCTGATGAGGAACTGATTATCCCAGCATGATGATGATAGATCATAATTTCTATTGATGCTCTTTCTTCCTTTTTGATTTCAGCTGTAACTTTCCTCCCATAGCTCCATGTACCATTCTCAGCTGGGGCTCTTAGGCATCAGCCTCTCCTATAGAGCCCCTCCACTTGCTGTACTCCAAGCAAAGATAATGTCGTCTTCATATCCAAACAAAACCCCATGTCTTATGTTGATCAAATCATACGTTTCACCACAAATGTCCACTTCAACTTCCTCCTGCTTGTTTCACAAGCACCTTTTCCTCCACACCTTCAACTTGTGAAGGCTGCCTCTTGGTTCCACTGCTACTTGCACCCCACCTTCACCCTACAGGAGCCATCTCCTTCCCTCGCCTGCCAGAAATCAGGTCATGCATTACCTAGCCATTCTCCTTCCCTCGCCTGCCAGAAATCAGGTCATGCTCAATGGCTAGGTAAGCCATCCTGTGAGGGGAAAAAACTGGTCAAACACATTCAACAGCAAATGTATCTGTGCCTCTGCTTCTTTCACCCTTGCTTTCTGGTACAGAGCTTAGTAGCATCTTCAAGGCAAAAATCCTCTGGGCACAGGCTCTGACCTTCTTCTTGTTTCTGTGGCACTGAGGCTCACACAGCCCCTTATCCTGACACAATCTCCTGAGAGCAGTCACTGTTTAAATACTGAGTTATAACAAGCACAGAATTCTGTAAAAACAAAGAATACCCACTGAACAAACCCTAATGCACACTTCGAACCACAGGACTGCTGTATAAAACACATAGAAGGGCTTTGATTTTATCTGTACATGATGGAAAAATTCTTCTCAATGACAAAGTGAAAAGTAAACCACCATGGAAAGCAGAGCAAACCAGCAGCATTGGGCTCTCGTTAGACAGCACTGACAGTTTGAGATGCCACAAAAGAAAGAGCTGGCAACCCAAGTAAGAGAGAGGAGTCAGGTTAATAGCACAGTACTTGAGGAATATTACTTAAACTATATCACTCTTGAACTTGAATTTAAAGGAATGCTATGTTTCTAAATGGTCTGAATACAATCAAACAGAAGTACAAGCATAGCAACACATTGGCTAGGCCAGAACAGCAAAACTACGTGTTGGCAGAAGGGCTTCGGATTTATCTGTTACGAAGTTTTTAAAAATCAGCATAATTGCCTTATGCACCATCTATTTTAAAATGTTCCATTCGGCACAAGATGGCAAGATCAAATTAATCTCTGCAGTTTGTTGATACCACATTTTTATTTACCCTAAGTAGCAGGCTGGTGGAGATATACAAAGTTGAACCATCAATAATGCTCTTGCTATACACCTACCAGTGACGTGGTGTATTATGTACAAGTTTCTATGGAGTTATAAAAAAATACATAGCTATTTTCTGCCGTGTCAGTGGAGTTTAAAGTATTTCCTGACTATCTCAGCAAGTGAACAGATCGTTTGACATGTGACAACAATATCTGTGGGTGAAGTGGTATTCACGCCCATTGTTCATGGACAAATACACCTGTTTCCCCTTCTCTTTCTTTTTCCTTCTAGAAAAATGTCACTGAGATGTGACACCTATTAGGCACGGAGGTGTTACAGGGCTCCTCGTCCCTGTTTGACTCCTCTGCTTCATTCTAAACCTCCCAGAAAAAAATTATTTACTTGGAGAAAATAGGCACAAATACACAAACATGAAAACTGTTGTGGTCTCCATTGGATATAGCACTCATGTTAGAGTTGGACAAATTATATCAATGTACAGTACTGTTCCTTCGCTCAGATAGACTGGTTTTACCTTGAGAGGAACCTTTATCATCTGGAAAGCAGGGATTTGATTCTCTCTCCAGTTCAGCCCATCCACAAACTTTTTATATTCCACTTGCTTATGGTCATCTTCAAACCTAAGCAGAATATCCATAAGATGACTCAAGGTTAAAGGAAATTTTTAACAAAGTTGTATCATGTTATCTACAGCATACTAATACATTATCTTCTGGATAACAATCTTTTACTCTTTTATTACCAAGCACTGGCAGGAGTACAGAAAAACTCCACCAAACTGTCAGGACTTCTATATCATACATTCCATTCCATATTCTTACAGCTTATTAATGTCTCTTATGGCAGAATTCAACTTCTTTAAGGTTTATTACTTTTCAACTGATTTCATTTTACTTTTGAAGCATTGCCCAACCTTCTCCAACACTGGGATCTCACAACCAATGACAAACATAGAGGTGGGATGATCAATGTACAATTTCTTTGTGTAGAAAAGAAACAGGTAGAAGGATACAAGAGACCTGTGCTATAACGCAACTGACCTGCTTTATATGGCTTCTACAATCATTTCCTGAAAATAAGCAATCCTGTTTTCACACTCTGTGGGATCAATTTACAAGTGACAAACACATAGCTCTCTAACCTATCAAATAATAGCCAGATTTAAAAATCACAAGCCTTGTCATTTGGTAGCTGTTTTACAGCTTTGTTCTTTATTTCTACAGAATAAATATATATTTGTGTCAGTTATGAAGGCCCTCTAAATGTATGAAGATATATATGCTGCCAGCTAAGGTGCATGTGGAACACACTATCTCCCTCCCTCCAATTTCTAAAATCATTACCCTGCACTAATAAACCCCATGGGAGTAGATTTGTAAGCCACGTCATCCTTCTGCCATTGGTGTGGATGAAGCAGCTTCAGAAAAAAAAGTCAGCAAAACACTTAGGTGATTAAGGCAATTGGGAACCACTATTATTTCAGTGGGACTAGTCAAATGCTTGAAAGATATCTGAAAGCTGAAGCTACTGTGAAAATTGTTCTTGAAATGAACAGCTTAACTGCTCTGCTATAAATACTGTACTAGCAGCTTCTGTGAATGATGTCTGTCTCACCTAGCACTACCTACATAAAAAAGGGACCTGGTTTAGGCATATAAGCACACCCTGGAAGTGTCTGGGCTTCACTGGGGTCCATGAAGAGACATACAAGTAGTGAGACTCAGTAACTATTCTTTGGTGGGAAACATCAGGTTAAACAATTCTGCCCTGTAATCTGGTGAGACAAATACTACTGCACAGGAGCAAGATCATCTCTGGGAAACAAGCCTTTTAGAAAATCATTTTATCTTGTTCTTAAAGGAACAGCATTACACAAAACATGGGCCTCAAAACCCTTCAACTGCTGCAGAGGGTTCTGGTAAAAATTAAGCATGAAGGTACTTTAAGGGAGAATTTACAGCACAAACTTGTAAAACAATACCAGAGAAGAGAAGAAATAAATCTAGTGACAAAAATAAACTGCAATAAACTGCAGCTCATCCTCTCTTTCTCCTCCCCCCACACCTTTCATTTAATAGTCAGCAGGAGAGATAATAATAAAATATACTGAGAGCCATAAACAGAGATGCTAGCGATAAACTGGAACGTTAAGTACAGTGAGTTATGCTGAAGATAAAAACGAAGTCAGAAAAGAATGCTACTGTTACTAGTATTAAGAGGAGCCTGAACCATTACCATGAGAAACCCTCCTATGATAGCTTACTTCTTTATAATAGCTCACATGCAAGTTAACATTTTCACAAAGCCTTGCTTTTGGGGGATATGTCCAATATACAAGAAAATTATCATTCAGACTTCTAGGCGGTTCTTGTTTGTTTAGGTTTTTAGCAGGTGGCAGTTGGGAAAAGAAAGGAGTTTTGTATTAGAAGTAATGAGACAATAAGAAGCTTATACCTCGGGAAAAAAAAAACTTGCGCACATTTTGAATTTCAGAATTAGCAATGCATTTTTTTTTCTTTTACTGTGTATGTTTTTATCTTTTGCTCATTGTGTAAAGTCAGAAGATTAAGTCTATTACCAAGATGCAGAGCTGTATAAGTAGGATTTTTAAATAAAGAACAAGTGAAGGTGTGTAACTACTTTATGTTGAGGCAATGAAGTCAACAAAAGCATTGCTTCTGCTTTTGACAAACATTAACAAGGACAAAAGTCTTTTGATGAGACAGCACTAGCAAACGGAGATGACAGCATAGGCACAAAGTTACAACAAAAGATTTTAACATGGGCAGAGGAAATGGGATTCCTAGATCCCATATTTAAATAGCTACAGAAAACAGTTTAAAATATTACTCTGGGATAATCTAGAAAGAAAAAAAAAATCGACTCTTTAGATCTCTTTCCTGCTGTGACTTATAGTATCAATCTACTAAAAGCACATACTTGCAATTTGGCACAGAGTATCCAGATGGACTGAAGAGATGTTATCAATTTGTGCATTATTAAGACAGAGATGTCATACATTTCAGGGGCTGGAGTTAATATGACTGAAACTGACAGTGCTCTTCAGGAAAGGAAATTAGATTTGTCTTATCAAGAAGATGCAACAAAGATGTCTTGAAACCACGCTTCTCTTCAGTTTTGCCCTATGACTTCACCAATGCATGTGATTTTAGATTATGAAAGTTACTCCCCCATCCCTATCATAGCTTTCAGAGCTTCTTTTTTTTTCTTTGATATTACAGAATTAATCACACACTTCTGCTTCTAAAAATCTATTCATAATTAAATGCTCCAGATATGTGAAAAACCTGGTTAAATCACACTATGACCATTCCTGAGGATGCTTTGGTAAGGAAAGGCTACTTACAAGTATTTTTTCTTTCCCATCAAGAAATCTGTAACCCAAAAATTTATGTGAAAAGTTAATGTATATGCAGAGTTTTTTTAATTCCTTAGTTTTGAATAGCATTTATTATGGAGTCAATCTGATAATAATAGAGGAGAAGCATCATGCTAGTTTAACCTTAGAGAAAATGTTGGAATTCTTAAGCCTGGTTGATACAGAGATATTTCTCTGTGTAACACAGGTATACACCTAAATTGTCATAAACTGCTCATATGAAAAGATTTAAAACAGGAAACATGGACAAGTCTATGAAGCTGATTAGTATGAATTATGTAATGGCTACCATCTTGTGTATATATTTATTCACGTCTTGAACAACTATAAATTCAACCATTAGTTCCTCAGCATACTGAATAACAGAAGTAATTTCTTTTAAGAGATGCAAATATTAATGCTAGAGAGCCTTTTAATCACAAATGGCATAGGGAGTCTCAGGCATCATAGGTAATGAGCAGAAGACAGAACGTAGGAGAAAGATCTTGTGAACTTTTCCAATCTTGCTTTTGCTACCAAGACACTTACTGTAGCAGGAAAAGGGTTTGCTTCTTGAAAGAAATAGGTCAGCCCTAAAAAAAATCATTACAGGTAGGCAACTAGGTAAAAAAATTATTACCCAGCCACACAGCAGGGAAAAGCTAAGCAGGCAGGAGTGGCCTAGCCTGGCATATGAGTGACTTGAGAACTAGGATGACCATGTAGGAGGCCCATTGTTAACTTTTTCAAAACAACAAGCCCCCCTCCAGAGTCCCGACAGTCTCTCCCTGGTACTGTGGAGAGGTGAAGAATTACACAGCCACTTTTAACAGAAATTAAAAGATTTGTTTTAAAAGATAGAGACATATGCTTAACAGCTAAACTAACATGGAACAATCAACATGTAATACTTGTAAACTTGTCATCCATTCTTTCTTCCCTCCATTTTTTCTTTCCTTATCTGCCAGCTGTTTATATACCCTCTGGGGAAGGACTGCATCTTTTTAAGTCCTTGTTAGCATACATTTAGCATTGCAGTAAATAAAAATAACAGAAACAAAAACCCCTAAATTAATTACTTAAGCACTTTAGCAACATTTATTTATTAAACAAACTATAATTGTTTATTATGCCTGCATAAATTTAAAAAGGCTTATAATGACTACTGCAGTTTTCTGGCAGAAACAATTGTGTAACATCTGTGTTCCTTAATACATTGTGATTAAAAAACTGAGTGAGAAAATGCTGATGGAGAAAGGAAATACTTTTTAATAAGCCAGCTCAGGTAAATTGGAAAAATGGACACATTGTTGGGAACCTAAATCCTACTATTCCATCATCCCACAATTAAAAATACAAATTTATTCTAGAGAGATGATCTGAAAGGGTCTTATGAAACCTCACAGTCTTTGTGCAAATTCTCCCTGCTCTCTGTGAAAAATGAATGGTCTTTGGGTACAGCAAGTAAAGCCTTGGGTCATCTGGAGGTGACCACAAAATCAGACAGTAACTTCTAGTCCCATCTCATGCTTTTAATAAGTGACAGATCATTGCAGTATAATTTACAAACGTAAATAATGAACACTTTAACAGCATTGCCTTTCAAAATGGAAAAATACAACCATTAAGTCCTACAGAAAGTCTTTGCCACCTAATCTCAGATAGCAAAGCTGAATAAACACATAGCTTCAGTCTTCAGCTATTATCTGATCACATTGCCCAGCATAATTTTATAGCTGAATAGGGTCCAGCTAGTGCATTAGCTACATATACTGATTTTGTGGGAATCCATCCAACAACTTTTATTGTACGATTTTCTTCCTTCATAAATACAGATACACACAGTAGGAACACCACCACCACTTGCTTCAGAAACGTCAATGGACACAAAACCACATGCTTCCTCATCCAAAAAAAATCCAAGGAAAGAATATTGTTGACAAACTTTGCCCACACTGAACTGCATATTCCCCAGGAGCAAGACTGTTCTTTGTTAACAATAAACCTGCCTGTTCCATAATTTTTCAGTCTCAAAGAAAACTACAGGAAGCAGAAGGAAAGGAAGAGAAAAGTCTAAATCTCATTCAGCCAACTCTACTCTTCGATTTCCAGATTACTGGAAATTAACTCCTATTAAATAGACTTCAAAAAAAATCTTTCCCTGACTCTGCACCCTCATGAAACAATAAATTTACCAAGCAGTGCCAACTGCTCACATTATTAAGAACATGACAATCATCTTCCTTCTTATCTGCAGTGCAGTGACTCACCACATAAAGTGCCATTTTTCGAAGCAGCTGATACTGTAACTTAGAACTGGCATTACACTTAGCACTCTATCATACAAAGTACTTCTCACACTGATGTCTGAGGCCCAGCTTCACACCATTTACCTTTCTCATTTAGAAATCTGCAATAGAGGCTGGCCACAGCCCCTTTAGAAACAAAGGAAGATGGATGGTAATTTAGAAATCCAGCTCTTATACAGGCTGAGGAGATAACTCTCTCCTTCTCCATCACCTACAGAAAGAACCTACAGCGGCTGAATTCTATTTCAGCTGTCATGGGTACCTGCCTAAAGCTGGGTGAAATCCAACCCTGAGTCTCCTCCTTGTCATCTAAGATTATCTCTAATTTTTATTATAGTGTACTGGGCTTTTTCTTTTTCACTGCCTACACTGAGACTTTTCAGGAGAGAAGAGGTTCATCTCACAAAAGCCTTCCCTGGTATAAATTCGCAAACAATAAACATGTCTCTGGAGCCTATGATGTGTCAGGCTTGTCTGTTTTTCATCAGCATTGAGTTAGTACATAAAGGAAAACCTCCAGTCCCTTGTCTGTGCATCTATTCAATTTCAGCCTTTATGAAGTGGAAACTATGAGAACTCCTTGTCTAGTACAGGATCTCAATTGTCCTCCAACACTTTTTGTGTTGGGCAGCTTAGCGGGAGTCCTAAAAAATGAGTTTAGATTAATGCAAAAATTCAGACATGCTTCTAATGACTAATGCTTGTAACCTAACTGTCAGAAGTGATGAACGGCAAACAAATTGCCAAAGTTGTCCATCTGGCTACTGCAGGGAACTGTTCTGAAAGTTTTTGGTCTGGAAATGGGGGCTTTGTGAAAAATAGTCCCTTAGGCTTCTTAAAGCAGACTTGTTGATACTGATTTAAGTAGGAAGTCTTGCTTGCAGTCCAAAGATGCGTTACTAAAATGGATTTCACATTTCTGCCTGACAAGAGCCTCTTCATTATTTGATAAATCAAGATGCTTAGTTTGCAATTCCTCCTGAAATCAAGAAGCAAATCTACCTGAAAGCATCTGATCTCTACAGAAGACAAGACCTGCTCCTGCTTCTAACACAGTACGCAGGCACAGACAAAACGTTTAAGAATTCCCCACAAGGGAAAGAAGAGACCAGTGAGCATGCATTTAAACCTGTTACAGAAAATCTGTCCAGTAAAACCAAACTCAACATGACATGAGTGTTCAAAATACCACAGGCTACTCTGAACTCTAGCTTTTAATACAAGTGCACTGAATAATAGTTCTTTTCACTTCTATTCCCATTAATACAGCTAGCCAAGCAATTTGTCTAGAAACACTCAAACGTGCCATGGAAAAATACCAAAATCATGCCAACACTCCTTTTCCTTTTTGAAAATTACAGTAAAATATGTTTCAGGTGAGATTAATGGGAGTAGAATCACTTCTGTTTACTCCTGATGCTGTCTACTTCATTCAAGGACATTTCATTGTATTCCTCTTGGTACGTTTTTTAAAGCTCACATAATGCACTTTCATCAGATTATTGGTTTTACCTTACATATACAGAGGAACAACTAATGCAGAAAAAGTAAATCTCATTGATAATGGTAAGTATCAGCAGTTGATTCCCATATGTCTAATTCCATAGAATTCGGGCAAAACCCAGATGACCTACCATACCAGACAAAATGAAGAGAAGTTGCGAAGATGGATGCACCTTAGTTGATAATAGCGATTCTATAAATAGGAAAGTCCACATGTGTATAGGGACAAAATCAGCATAATGAAATTATTAATATTAAGAATTTGTCATTTATATAAGAACTGTGTCTGCAGTAGATATTTGGCATTGATTTGCACCCATGCATGCAGGTCATACTATCTGCCCTTAACTTACATGGTCAGTAAAGCTTGCAGATCATCATCAGCCACTGGCAACTTAAAGGACTTGCAAATAGTCCTGCACATCTCATGGGGCAGCACTCCACATCTACACAAACAGAAAGAAAGGGGAAGAAGTTACATTAGGTATTTTACAGATTTACTTCACGTGACTGTTATGTGAATAGGAAAACGCATGAGGAATATTGGGGTAGAGGTAAAGAATAAAAGGTTTTATAAATTCTGCTATTACAAAGCCGAGAAACTTGAAGTGCGCGTCTCCCACACACTGAGGTCCTTAGTGATTCTCTGTGATTTTTTATCTGTGACATCAGAGAACAAAAAGGGCAAATGAGTCATATAAAGAATCAGTGACAAATCCTTCACTTTTTTCCCTTAAATCACTATTTTTCCTCTTTGATTTAAAATACTGTGTTTTGCCTGTGAACGGGCATCTGATTATGTCACAGAATGTTCAGTACAGCAGCTATAACAAAAAGTCCACAAACAAAATTAAAAAGAGACCAAAAGGCTATCCTTTTCTTGTCTACTGTCAAGTGCTGAGAGAGGCTTAACATTAAAAGTAATATTCTTTTGCCACAATATATCATTTGTTCAGCAACAAACAGAAAGTAGGTAGGTTTACAAGCAGAGCTTCCCAAATAACAGCTTAGGATAAATAGAGGATACTTACTTTTCACGGTCATTGTATAGAAGCACAGCAGACAGTTGTTCAAAATTCTCAAACCTATTTTTCTTCAGTTGCTCTTGAGCCACTGCAAGGAGAAGTTGGAGGTCCGTTTCATATTCGTCTCTCACACTGTAATAGCGCCCAAGAGTCATAATTTCATGTTCTGAAAATGCTCCATCAGTGATACTGAGTATCAAATTTCTGTTCACAAAAACAACAGTGTACATTAGTTTTAAGTAAAGGAGTTAAAAACAGTTAATAATCACTAAATTTCAGGGAAAAAAAGGACTAAAGTGCACTCATTATAGAATGCTGTAATTAGAACTTTAAAGAACATATTTACTTAAATTTGAGATGCAGATCTGTTCAAGGAGATATAATGGAAATTACCTGAACTCTAAAACTTTTGCAGAATGCCCACATTTGCTCAATAGTCATTTATACATACAAAACCCCATAATAATCATGACTGAAACCATTTACCGGAGATGCCATACTGGCATAGATTAGCAGCATCGTGAAAGCTGTGCCTGTTGGGCAGCTTTCAGGAGAAAGCTAGAGAAAGTGAAACAGAAATTGGTCACAGAGGGTGGGCAGAAAATTACACCCAACTTGTAATCACAAGCCCGCCTGGCAAGAATGTAAGACAGGAGGCAGTCGCAAGACCAGTTTATGCCTGGACACTGTCAGCAGAGAGCCAGATCCCATGCAGGGAAGTGCCTGAGATGTGCTCTCCTCAGATCGTTTGTGCTGCTCAGACGAATCAGCCAAACCCAAGGAATAAGAAATGTTCCTGAGATCCATCTGATGGGCCAGTGTTGGCACTGAATGACTAGTCATTCCTGTTAATATCAAGAATTTGTTGCTGGTAATAGAGCTGGAGTGATTTCTGGGGAAGCTCCTGAAAGCACTTGTAGTATATCAGTAAGTGGACACAAGCTTTGGAGCTTAAGAACCAGGACTAGCAATTACAGTTCAGAACAATCTCCCTCTGCTTTATATTGTTGGTGGAGGGAAGAGAAGGACTAATTTTAAAGACTACATTGTCTTTGTAGTAGGGGTTTTGTCGCCTTCAGTGATTACAGAGTTCTTCATATGTCCTGGATGTTGACACACAGTAAGGGAAGAAAAACATCAGCAGTGAGGTATGCAAGGAAACCTAGGAGGCTTCCTGCTCTCCTGGAAAAAATTCACTGGAGTGAATTGTAGGTTACTTCAGCTGTTTCAAGGCCTCTTGTCAAACTTGGCTTAGTGTAAATATATGTTGGTGTTATGAACCCAAATGGCTGCCTGTGGTGAACTCAAGTTCAACAGGATTTTATTTAACAGCGAGCATCAACATAGGCATATGTGCATCAATCAAAATTAGATTAATTCTATATAATACTTCTGGATAAACTGCACTAAGAATAAACTTCACTGTAATTGCTGATGCAATTAGAGCTGTACCTTGTGGTACCCTTGAGGGCGTTGCATCACTGTGATTATATACTGATCTTTGAAAACAAATGGAAAAACTTACTAGTGACGCACAAAGTTCTGACACAAGACTCAAACTTCTGGCTGGAGAACAGTTAAATTCTTGAAGGAATCTGATAACGAGTCTCTTAGCATCCACACGTGAAAGGAAAGCACAGAAACTTTGTACCCTTCCAAATTGCAAAATTTTATCAACAAACATAATTTTTCACTTGCTTCCTCTCAGAGACTTCTGCGGTCCTGTTCAAATGAAGCTATCTCTTCATAGAAAATGATTGCACTTACACAGCTAGTCAAAAAAAGGATGCTAAACACTGTATAGTGTCTACTTTGATTCAACTTCTGCTTTTTTCATGTTAAATAAACCAGAAAGATCCTTTATTTGCAGTGGCAGGAGATAAATGTAAGGAGAAGACAACGGTTGACAGTAGCAAACCTTACGTGGGGTTAGGCAAACTCAATGACCAAAACTTGGTCCATCTATTAATATTATCACTATCTTGTCAGTATTATTATTCCACTTACTGAATATTATTATTTATATTGTAGCAGCATTCAGAGATCCAGTCAAAACTGGAGCCTCTTTCCTGGAGCCTGCAGTAATACTACTGCAAACACAAAGAAGAGGACAATACTGCCTGATAAGCCTGGCGCTCTAAACGCTTGGGCTGGCGAAGCTGAAAGCATGTAGATACATCACCCACCTGAGTATTTCCACAGACTGGATTTCCACACGTCACAGATTTTTCCAGGGTCAGGATTTTAAAGGTCTTTTATTTTCTCTAGCCAGTCAGTGACAATCAAGTCACCAAAGCCCCCAGATAAAATTATTGTCTCGTGTGGGAATTAAGGAATATTCTAGGGATTGCTAGGGACTAACGAGTGAGACCCAAGATTCACAAATAGAACTACATCTAAACTCTCCCTGACAAAAAGAAACAAGCTGTAAAAATTGTTCCCACAGCTTAGTTATCTTTTTACTTTTTTTTTTTTGTTGTTCTAGAAGAATAAGACAGATTGCAATCTGAATTTGGTAGAGAAAGAAGGAATAATGATTAACTGCTTAAGAGAGCTGTTTCTCAAGCTGAATTGAAGATAGGCATCTTTGTTAAATCCACATGGTTCTTTGTCTCTGACAGCGAACAGTCTTGCCAGTAGCTTATGAGAAAAAGCAGTCTGGACAGGACCGTGTGATGCACAGGCATCTAAGTTTTAGGGGTTTTTTTCTTCTCCTTTTAACAAAGCTTTCAACAGTTTTAACGATAGCTTAGAGGATAGCTTCAATATACACCACGTATTTATTTCCTGGATGATGTGCTGTAGATTTGGGTTCTGAAAGTAGTTAAAGTCGTATAATTACAATTCTGCTTCACTACTTTTAAATACAGCTCATATGAAATTACATAGGTAGAAAGGAAGAAATCTGAACAGCCAAATTCAGAGCACAGTAAAGCTTTAGCTGTATTTAAGATAAGAAAAGAGGATTATCATGCTGGTTGAAGCTGTCACTTCAGGATAATTGCCTGTACTAAAAATATAATTTGTAGTTAGTTATAATCATGAAATGCCATGACAGATTAAAAATAAACAGTGATGTACACAAGATAATACACAACACTGAACAAAAAAATAAATATTCTATTCACAGAAAAATATCTTTGGCTTTTCACAGATGCAAAGAAGTGCTCTTGTCTTTGGCATTAAAAATGTTTCTTTTGTTCTAAAATAAGATACATGGATAGTAAAAATAAGGCAGCCTTTAGATTACTAGATATAATATGAATGAACAGAAACAAAATCTACTACCACTGTAAAGCATGGAAGTTGTTTAACTTGTTCAAAGTTGTTCCTTAGAGGCAAATTCTTCCCCTGGCAGTGTGAATGCTTCCTGTTAGACCCCCTGAGGTCCCACCGAAGGAGAGGTGTAGACCATTAGTAGGTGCTCACACAGGCCCAGGCAAGCACTGAGGCCAAAAAACCCAGTATTACGTGGATTCCCCTGCTTTCTCTCTTACTCATGGAGAGGGATAACTGCATTTTCATTGCTGAAACCAAGTGCCTCAATACCATATAATTAGACATATCTTACTTACTCCATGCCACAGAACAGCACTAGCCTAAATTAAACAGCTGGGCAGTTCACAGCTGCACAGAGTATGACTGTGATTAAATTTACACTCAACTGAGCCTCTTCTTGATAAAATAAAAATCTTTCCCTGCTGTTTAAAAGCACAATTGTCCCTCCTAAAAGTGTGCTCCACCAATTTCGTCATGCAAATGTTCCAAAACATTGACCTGCTCTTAGTGCACATAAGAAGACAAAGTTTTGCAGATTATTATTTCATAATTTGAACCAAAACCATAATTATTTGATTTTAAAAAGTTATTGTGTATATATAGTAAACCTCTTTTCCAAGTGCTATAAAGTTTCTCCAGATATATAGTAACTTTCAATTTTCTCCACTTCTTACTCTAGTAATAACATTGTCCTTCCTAACACGGTTAACAATTCAGAATCTTGCTTCTGTTGAGTCTAGAAATATTTTTACTGAAAACTGCCAATAACTGCGGCCTCTTAGTTTGAATCCTACCTTTGAATCACTTATTTTTCATTTCTGAATACCAGCTTAATTTCTCACTACTTTCACTTTGAATTGCTGGAAGAACCTTCTGCTGACATATAGCTATATATCTTCTGAGATATTTCAGAAGCAATTTCTGCCTTGGTTAACATTCCTGTAGGGATGATATTCCACACAACATACATCTACTTATATGTTTTAGTTATTATGACACTTCCTAAATACGTAGTGTATTACCACTGTGAAAGCCAAAATGTTTCTAGGTAAAATCTCTGTTCCAAATCATTATCTTCACCAGTACCCAACACAGTTCATATGCACAAGTATTCTGGCTGGAGGACAAACTGAAATCACCTTGCATTTGAACACGACTTCCTCTTTCAAGTATCTATATATTTATCCATTGCCATGTCTGGATCACTGCCAGAATCCAGGTATCTCCTCACCCTATCTCTGCTGAAATGACTACTCAAGCATTAATCATTGCTCTCACTACTTCAGTCTTTTTTAAAGAGGCTTATCACTGCATCCTATAATTTCAATACACCGTGGTCCTGCGAAGACTCTCTTGTTTATCAATGATTCACACCCCAAATAATTTTCAGGAGGCCAACTCAAACTCTTGAATTCCAAAACTTTTTAAATTAATTTCCTTGACTTTCTCAGGATAGGCTTTGCTTTATCCTTCAGTGTACGTATTACTGCTGACTTACCCTTCTTCACAACACCCTGTGCCAGCTCCATAAAAAGTAGACAGATTTTAGTTGTGCTTTTCAGCTTACTTGAAACTATTGCATTCTCTTTTTTTCACTTTCTTTTTCACATACAGTCTCCAAGTAAATGCAAAACAAATGTATCATCCCATTTGTCAGCTAACATGTGCAGAAAGCATCAAGAAACAGTCATGCTCTATACATTTTTGGGGAACATGCCTTCATTACATATTAACAAAAAAAATCCAGTCTTACCTGAAAGGGTCATACTCAATCACCTTGCTATGTTCAGGGTCAGAGGCTGCAAACTCCTGTCTGATTTCTCGGGAACGAGGTTCAGCTATGTCTTTCAGTTTCTTGAGGATGACTCCAATGTCAGCCACGGAGAACTTAACAAAGGAAAGCAAGACGTAGATTAGAGAGAACGGCACTGTGCAACCAACTATGAATATACCAGCAAGAGTCGTCAAGATGCAGGGCAATGTTGAACTCCTAAGTATTATTAGTTTCTTCATTGTCTCACTTCAAATGCATAAATCAGCATTGTGTTAAGTTTGGAGGGAAGCTTGCTCCTGAAAAAAAATTGCCTCCTACTGAGAATATAAAAAATTAAAGAAAAATCATCAGACCATGCGCTCCCAGAAACCTTATTCCAGCTACATAAAAGGACACTTTTGCTTCAAACACTGAATTGCGAAAGCAGAAGCAGAAACATCTAATACAGTCCTAATAACTTGGTCCTCATTTGGTGTTGGTGCATCTCACTTAATTCTCCATTAATAAAATTCACCGCGCTAAAACTAATCTTTTCACCACTGTCTCCGATGAACTGTTGAACAGATATTCTCATTCATATTAGACTGAGTGTGCTGTTTTACATACTCAGCATTAGCAGATTGGAAATTTGTTAGGAACCATTTTTTCCTGTTGTGTAAGAATGCTTATTTCTCCTAAATATAGGCCATTAAAATAAAAATTAATTCAGATAAACAGGACTGAAGCACTTAAGCTTCCACCCTACATTCAGATTGCTGCATTAGAGCTCTACCAAAGATTAATTTGCTGTACTAGTTTTTAACATAAAACATCTATGTACTTAGTCATTAAATAGGGGTTGAGTCCAAGCACCAGTATCTGATATATGCCCTTACATCTCTCATGTCTACCTAATTTACAAAACACAATGAACTGTCCGAAAATAGTTTTCTCCCATTTCTTCCAGTAAGCAATGATGTTTTAACTAGCAATTATTTCAAATTTGGTATAACTGGTATTAAGTACCTAATCACAACAGAGATTGGGCCTCACTCTTAATTACGCTGAAGTCTGTCTACAGCATTGTATCAGTTCAAAGGGATCTAAGAAAAGGGTATCTTAAGTCCCTATGACACTGCCAGAGCAGTATAAAGTGATCCAAGTTTAATAAATACATCAGTGGTTGCAGGTAACATCCTCAGATTTAGAGAAAACCATTGCTGCATATGCCAGAACTGCTCCAGGTACAACCCTGGCATGCAATGCCACACAAGGCAGTGGTGTGGAGCAGCCGGCCCAGCAATCAAGAAGTTTTAGAGACAGCATATTTTTCAATCCCCTCCCCAAGCTGTTATTGTTTGGGCTGAAAGCACACAGCTTTTTGCTGAAAAAGAAAGGAACAGAGATTGAGAAAAGACCGGGCAGAAGGAATCAATCAGCAGAATATTTAAAGATGGACAAAGTGTTCTGTCTATTTTAAAGCCTGTCTTCTCTACATTTTCGAAAGCAGTTATTTTTACATCTTATTTCTAAACTACATATTCCAAACACCTACACAGACATCGAGTATCCGAGCAACATGGCAATAACTCTTTACCCGCTTTCCCCCCTTCTCATGTAATTGCCGATATGCTAGTAGTCACAATCTAGTTTTGTTTGATTGTCTTGCTTAAGTCAGAGGTTATTATGTTTAATTCAATGGAAGTAAAATCAGCCTCCATGTTTGTGCTGCAGAAGACTACAAAGTTGGAACAACTGAGACTGCTTCAGAGATGATGAATTCATTTCCAAGGAGGCACAGTGACGCCTTGTCTGCAAGAGTCCTCCTCGAACCTGGGTAATACCAGTAGGACTGCGCACAACACCTATGTTCTGCTTTGAAAGCAAATTTACGCTTTCTAAATACATCTTTTTTTCCTCAATTTGGAAAAGAAACTAGAAGTGTTAAAAAGTTTTGAGAATTAGATCCTTAAAGTTACTTTCACTACAGGTGGCAATCAAAATGACAAGACTCAACGATTTTTCTTTCCCCATGACTTAAAAATGGTACAATAAATACAGTTTTGAAACAGAAAACCAAAACTTTCCAAATATCTCATATGGTGGCAAACAAATGTTTCAATGATAGCAAAATCAATTCTCACCTGCACTATGATTACCAATCAAAATCAACCAATCCGAATCAACATATGCCTATAGAAATGTGGTCAAAATGGCATTTTTCAGAAGAAAGACATTCCATCTGGCCTTCTTTCACCAGTTATCAGAAAACGAGCTGATGTGTTCCGCTGAAAGGAAACCTCTGTCTACTCAGAAGGCAAATTATTTATTTTCTAATTCTAGAAATAACCAACAGTCATCTTAAAATTGTTTCCCCTTTTTCCAGCTCTGCTCTTCTCTAGTAATTGCTGAAGTTCTTCCGATTTGAGTATGCAATTCCCTGATGAACTGAGACAAACAAGGTGCGTCCTTACTTCAAAGGATGTGAATATAGCCTCCATCATAGGGAGAATAAACCTTTTTTTTCCTACCAGCTGCTTTAAAAACTTAACTGTGCAAAGAACACTTCAAAATTCACTTTAAAGACATATTTTTAGTGTTGCTTCTTCCCATTTTGCAGATTTTATTTTGATAATATACAATCATTCAGTCTGGAAAACTAAGATCTCATCTGTTTGATCCAAGATAATCACTGGAAACAGCAGCTCCAAAGAACATTTACAATCTAATGATGTGCTCTTGTGTTTTGGAGAACAGCTTTGGTTTTGATTGTACTAGGAGGAGAAACAATCCAGCAGTAACAAAACATAATGTATATAGCTTTGTATTTTACTGCTTAAAGCATTTAGCAGTCGTAGCATTTCACATCAATGAGCATTTTGCAGACCTTTCTCATTATTCCAGGGAAGGCAGGTGGTGCTAACTCCATGTTAATTTACAAAGAAATCACACTGTTCTGCTTTTTTCATTTGAGTGAGACCAGCGCGTGTGGCCCAAAGGCAGCACAGGGTCAGGTTGCATCTACCTCTGCCCCAGCAGCACAATGGCATCAAGACTCGCAGTCTCCAAGACCACGATAAGCCTACTGGCGTCTTGGGAGTCCTCCAGGTTCACTCACTTCGGTGAAGCCATCAGACAGGGAGCAGTTAAAACTTGCAGTAAGAACCTTCTCCCTTCTCCATCCACAAAAGGTCTGGACAGCTGGGCAGAGGACTATAGCCTGATAAACCCTCCTGGACGTTTTCCCTAGGGGTGCTCTCAACAAGCCTATGCAAAAGGGCAGCCCTGGAGAAGGTCTGCTGAAGACACAATTCATGCTGCTGCCCCACCATGAGCTATGAAGCATACATGTTACCCCAAAGTCTTCACAGCACAGTTCAGTCCAAACGCTGATGTTCAAGATCACACTGTGCCAAAGCAACAAACCAGAAGAGGGACTGGGATGCAGAAATGCCTTGCCTGCCGAGCTGATGCATTCTTAAGATGCATCTCAGAGTGACTGGGTCAGAGCTACACATAACAGAAATTTCCAAGTCTATCAGGGTACCTTTATTCAAATATTGCAGCACAAATTTCACCATCAAAAAAACCAGAAATCTACATTTCTTACCAAACCAACATAAAATCCCACAAAAATGCTCTGCAACTCTTATGTGGTTTTCCATTCCTGTAGCCTTTCTTTTTTGACATCTGAGACAATTGCTATAGGACAATCAATTTCCTCCTGTTGGATACATTTCTGGCTTTGGTGAATGAGAGCTTCTTTACCACCCATTTGTGTAATGAGCATAAAGCATACATTACCAGACATGCTCTAGCTCTCTATTTATTGTTGTTCTCCCCTCTGAAGGCAACACCAAAAGATAGTGAAACTCAGTACAAACTGTAAGGCTGAATTCCTGACTGTGATATGAATTTCTAATATTACAAGGGAAGCTTTTTGGCAGATATATATGTATGAACCCAAAAAATCAAGTTAGGGAATAAAATAACCTCATTGGTAAGACTCTAAATTGGATGTGCCCACATCTTGGGTACTGTGCATTGTTCCAGTCTCCACATCTCACAGTTGCCTTGCAAGGACAGACTAAAAAGGGTGAGGCTCTTAACTGGATAGGATTAGGCTGAGTGGGAAGAATGACTGAGATTTACAAAATTATGAAGGCAGTGCATAAGCTGAATGTGGATCTTCACCAAACCCCAGAACACTAGAACTGACTGGCATTGAAACTAGTGGGATGCTGGTTTAAAACAGATAAAAGATACTTACTTCTTTTATCATATTTTTTCTTATATAGTAGGCAGTGAACTTTTCAACTTGCTGCCACAGAAAGCTGTGGAAGCAGACAGTATCTGTAGGTTCAACAAGAGCTAGATAAATTCAGGAACAAGAAGTCTATAAACAGTCTCAAGAAGGAATAGGCTGGGATATACCTCCTAACAATCTCTAATACAGTAAGAGTGGATGTTGAGGCAGTAGAAGGGGAATGGATGGTAAAGAGCGTCCAGGCTTGTGTGCACTCCTTAACTAACATCTTCTAAATCCATTGCTAGAGAGACAGCACTGAGCTGTGAACTTTGGGTGAAGAAATTAGGTATAAATAATTGTGAAAAATATATAGATAAGGTATAGTCCTTAAAGACAGTAGAAAATAACAAGAGCCTACTTCACCTCATTTGCATGCTTCTCCATGTAGTTGAACGTGTACTCATCAGCATCCACCAAAAGAAAGTTGTGACCATGGAAACAAACTCTGGCTCCAACAAACAGATTCTGAGCCTTGAAGTATTCAGATGGCTCGCTCTTAAAGAGCTCCTGCCCAGGCTTCTTAACGCGACCTCTTTCCAAGAACTTCCCACCAAGTATCCCTATGGGGATAAAATTGTAAATAATTAATTGTGGCTTTACTTGGGGAAAGAAAAACCAAACCATAAAAGAAAACCCAAAAGACACCCCAAACCAGCTGTTTTGTATTTAAATATTAGTTTTCATCCCTGAGTTTCTTGTCTCATAATACACTCTCCTGCTCCCTCTCATTGGTGAAAGAACTGTCTCTGCCAGTGTCCACAGCAACAGTTACATTGTGCATATTCTGTGACACATCTCATTTGAATGCCTGCCAAACACCTTCCCTTTTCTCTTTTCTTTAAAATGGGACAGAAATGTGCCTCTTCAAATCGTTCCCATAACCCTGTTGCCAGCCCTGGGACTGACCCTTGAGAAATGTACAATGCAAAATGTAAGATGCAGGCAATTATCCTCGAACTGTCAAAACAAAAAAGAAAAAAAAAATTCACAACTTAGGATAGCATGGTCCTACAAATGAATTCTGGTGCGCTGTAATTCCAACTTGTTTTTAAGGGCTTTTAACACTATCTTCCACATACTGTTCTGCCAATGCAATTTAATTGCGATCTGTTATTTCCTTTGTGAGCTGGGTATGTCACATTATTTCTTTTCACATTATAATGATTTTATTCGTGCCACTTGAAGCTGCATGTGGTGCTCAAGGGTATGTAAGATATGAAAATGAACATTTCGCTTTCCAGTAATACCTTCTGGTGCACCACAAGATTGCATTGCATGTACCAAGCTTTCTAGAAAACGTTCTGTCACATGTTTAGTTTCATCAGGATATGTGCCCTACAACTACTCTGGAGTGCCTGGGGTTCGCTTCCTGTTTATATTTGAGCTTTTGAGCCAAAAGCCAAAAAGCATACTTGCGTAATGTTTAATGATGTCGTGATGCAAGTCCAATTAAAGGCTGATGAACAGTGTAATAAAATGCCTTTTATAGTCAAAATTATAACTTTATGTCAAAACCAAACTACTTATTAAACCAAGTTTGGATCTGATGTCTGTCTTAATTGCTTTGCTAGCGCCATAAAAGCAAAAGACAAAAATACACTATGGCAATGGTCAGATCTAGTTTGAATCAAAAAACAATTCAAACCACTAATGTAGCTCTAAGCTTAACACATTCCTTTTCACCTAGCTATTAAAACAAATATGAAATTTTAGGTTATTTGATCCTGGCAACTGTTTGTAATATTTAAACAGAACTGGTCTCCACAAGATTGGAACTTCACTCTTGTCTCTCTAACTCCCTGCAATTGTGCACTTAGACTGGAAACTTACCTTAACACCTCTGTCCCTTAATTGTTTTTTAAACGTTACGGGTTAGTACATTTCAAGAGGTATAAAGGAAAACAACCAAAAATATCTGATTAGGTTAGAGATTTTACACTGAAACCTGATGAGAAATTTTTATGGAAATCTACAAGAGCCAGGCTCAAAGCACAAAATAAACACCACAACCAAAGACCCTCTTCCATTAAGATCAGATCAGACTTTGCAGGTGTTTGTACAGCTGTTGGCTTGGTGTTACACTGAGTAAAAAAGGGTTTGTGAGCTTCTGCATGGGGAGCCAGAGTTCTCATGCTTTGACCCCCATCTCAACAAGTGCTTCAAGATGTCCAGCCCTGTGCATTTCAAATACAGTTTCACAGCGTTACTAATATTGTGAAGTACTTCTCTGCAACCTTCAGGTTGCTGGACTGAGAGAAGTAAGAGCAACTTATTACTTCCATTTTTGGACTGAGATTTGAAACATTTTTACTTGCCAATTTGTATCAATCCATGCAAAAGGGCAAAAAATAGCCCTTTGAACCTGTGCACAAAAGGGATGGTCAAGTTGTTATTTTGTGAGTCATTTACTGGTTTAACTCATCCCTCTCTAAGATGTGCTCAAGCTTACTCTCTCCAGCTCCATCTACTTTGACACTTTTCCTTCTCACACACAAGCATTCTTCTCGCTCCCATGTTGTCTGCCTTACTCCTTTTTCCTAGCTGCTCTTACCTGACCTCTGCAAAGCCTTCTCATTCTTAACCTCATAGAAACCTGTTCACTTTTCCTTCAGACATGACTAAAATGAGGGAGGGATAGCAAGAGAGAAAGAAAAGAAGGAAGGTGGGAACAAAGAAACTTGCAGTCGCAAGCCTCTTTCCAACTGCTGCTCTACCTCCCCGCCCCATTCCCTACCTCTTACCCTGCCTCTTCAAGGCTGTTCTCACTAAACACTCCAACGGCCATTTCTTAGCCACATCCTTCCACTTCACCTTTCTACCACTTCTGAAAGTCAGCTACTCCATCAACTTTAACATCCCAGGGAAGTTAAAAACCCATTTACAGGTATTTGCCTTTTATATGTGTCTTAAAGCATTTGTTACTGTTCGTAGGCAAACTTCCCCATTTATTGTTTCACATTTTGTTTGAGCAGCCATGTTCAGTGGGCCCCCAGCTGCAATCCCAGGATATATTCTCATTCCAAAATAAAAGGAAGCCAGGAAGCAATCTCTGGCCTGACATCCATCTTGTTCCCTGGACTTCTCTAATTTAGCAGTGCAGCTGTACCCTTAGCATCCTTTATGTTTCTGGACATGAAGAATGCCAATCAAACCTGCCATTCCCTAGAGCAGAACTAAGCTGCTCTTGAGCCTGACAGCAGCATTACATAATAAATATATACATAAGTGTATGTGTCTTTAGCTGTAATAAAAGAAGTTGCATAAATGAAAGGCCACTGGATGGCAGGAAAGTAGTAAAATAATGACGGCAGGATGCTGCTGCCAAAAGCAGCACTGAATCTTGATGTTGCTAGTGGAGCAGAGCTGACTGGGGATGCTCATTGAAGCCTAGGCAGGTACTCTACATATTTTCAAAACATTTCTCAGAGAATTGCTGGTATTTTAGTTGGGTGTGAGGCCCCTATTTATGCATTCGTAATATAGTTGGATACACGCAGAGATGCCGTTAGAAGTTTTTTGCATTGAGAAGGCTCAGGCCTTCCCAAAAAACTATCCATGTGCAGGGCACTCAAAATGACTTAGTAGCACCAGTGGCACAGGAAGAATTCTCTGGGAATACAGAAGGGTCTAGATAATCACCACATCTTCATTTTTTTATGGATGTGATGTTCGTCATAGGTCTGAAAAGGATTAACATCAGAAATAATTTTCAGTAAAGGCTTAAGCATAGGATCACAACAATACTTAGTCCTTAACTGTAAACTGAATAACTGGACCTCAGAAAGTCAACTGCTGGCACTGAAGCCTGAAGCAAAGGGGAGTGAACAGTCCTTCCTAGGACAGTCTTTGCTCTGGACAGTGAGCTGAGAGTACCAAATAGGTCAGTGCTGAGCACAGTGAGCTGGTTGCCATTGGAGGGTGCACCTGAAATACCACACTAAGGTGCTCTGTGCCAAGAATCTGATATAGGGCGATTCAAGCAGTACCAAAAGAGGTTCCACAAGAGCCTAACATGGTAACTAAATAAACTTTCTATTACTCTTTTTCCCTTGTCTTTGAGAGAATGTGATTTCCCAATTTTTTTCTCTCTATGGTTTTATCAGAGGCTGACAGCAGCTTTTAAGAGTCAGTCCTTCAATTGCACATGTTGAGAGGTGCCAGAGCACTTCTGGATGTTAACTGCTCTGAAATTGTTGCTGCAGATGTTTTGTGGCCTTCACAGAAATACATTAATCTCTCCAACAGGGTCATGCTTAGCCAAGGCTTCCCTATCTCTCCAAGTTACAGAATGACCTCCTGACATCCTTCTCAGTGCTGTGTCCTTCCATCTGTGCACAAGACACTCCAAGGAAATAAAAAGATGCTTGGGAATCGCAAAACCTTTCACATCCCCAGTTGGAGGCAGCCTACAAGAGACAACAGTGGCCAAAAGAACTTAACCATGACAACATTGGGTGATCGTGCTCCAGCAATAGGATAAATGTGATCAAGCGACTTGAGAAGTAACAAAGCATTTGTCACTTAAACACTGGTAGTCTGGCTCTTGAAATTCAGTTCAATATTACACACACACGTCCAGACACTAGCACAGGGCAATCTTCAGTCTCTATATGCTCAACATTACCTGATTAATGATAAAGTATGTTAAAAAGTATCACAGCTGTTTTACTTTCATGAGCTACTTTTGCACAATGGATGCTGTATAGGTTTCATAACACCATAACACAATCTTGCAAAACAAAGGATTTACTCCTTCATTCGTGATGTCTTACATTTCCTGTCCCTATTTATCTTCGGTTACAATGCAATTCCTGTATGTTATCCACAACAAAAGCAAATGTTTAAAGGCCAAATTTGCAAATTAAAATGTAATAAAAGTTCTAATGCATTAAACCTCCAGTTCCCAAAGGATATTGTGAGGTACTGTCATACAATGAACAGCGTTATTCTGAGTGATGAAGATTATAAATTACTATGACATACAGCTATGCAAGATAATGCAGTAGACCTGCTGTTGTAATTCCCATTGCATTTAAAAATCCACATCCCTGCTTCTGCTAGTGCTGAGTCTGGCCACAATGTTTACTGTAAACTCTAATCAAATGAGCAGGGCAACCGGGACTGATTGCAAGACATTACTACATCTTACCTGTGTTTCGCTGTGTATGTTCAAAAACTGAAATGGTGTCATCACTCAGGAAGTAGGAAATAATGAATTTCCGATCCTTGTCAATAGGACTATCTGTGACAAGTTTTGCAACGAAGCGCAGTGTGTTACTTTCCATGCCACTTCTAAGAAGCAAAAGAAGAGATAAGAAATCAAAAACAGTACGGGAAAAGTTTTCACTACTAAGAGATGCATTCTCCCGAGTTTTGTAACATACATTAATTGCATTATTCCTGGACCAAGTGGGGAAGCAGCGTAAGATTCCCTACTTCGTCAAAAACGATTTTCAGCTTAAATTAACAGAACCAGCTAGAGTCAGCCAGATAGAAAGGAATCATTTTCTGTGGAAAATTACTTCTCTGCTACAGGTCTGGAATGAATTTGTATTCAAATTCAGTTACAAATCAAGCTTCAAGTTTCTTTCCAGAAAATGTATAAAGGAAGAACACATTTAGGTATGTATATTTCCAAATCAAATTCTGAATAGCGATACATACGATGATTATCTCCACAAAATCAGGCCCACCAGATGACCTTACTAGTTGGATATTTCTTAAGTGATTGCATTTTAGATGATTTACAGTACTGTTATATGCACCATCAATACATTCCCAAGCCTTTTTCTAATAGCTTTCTTCTTTTTCAGAGGTTCTACAGGTGATTCTCTAGCATGTGACTTTGCTTTCCGCTTAGGCTTCAACAACCACCACCTGACAGACCATTTCATAATGGAAAGTAAAGGGTTAATGCTTTAATATTGCTACAGTAAATTGCATGAAATTCAGTAGACAAAAAAAGTAAATGTCAGAAAGTCAAACAGAAAAACAAATCAGCATCGGACTGCTGAAGCATACAAAATTCCTAAGTCCTGGGCTAAGACTTCTATCAAACTCCCACTGAAGACAGCAGAAGGGAAGGAGGTAGGGGAAGGTTGGAATATTTGCCTTCTCAAAAGAGAAATTTTGCTCAGTTTGGAGAAAATTCGAGTACCATGTCACTAAACCAGTCCTCATGCACCTGTCCCTTAAAAGTCTGATGAGCTGCGTATTTTGCTGAAAAAACCCGACATCCCTACTTAACACTTCTTTCCTTCACAAAAAGACCTAATTTTAAAAGTTGGAATTATTTTTCACTGAAATACCTGTCTTTCTCCATGAATTTCTTGAAATCTTTTTGGGGAGGCTTGGGAAGCAGACCCATACATGAGCACAGAGAATCCTCTTCGGAACCAAATCCAGTATAAGGAGGAAATGTTTTTTCTGTTTTTGGAGGTGGTGGAGCCTTATATGGAACTGGGGTGAAGTCCTCTACAACAAAGACAGCAAGACTTATTTATTTCTCTCCTGATGAAGCCATTCCACTAAGAATTTAAACTTCTTAGCCTATTTCTGTAAGAGAGCACTGATCAAAGCCAAACCAGGATCCCTCCCACTGTTACAGGGTAGAAAAAGACTCCATAGATGCCAACAGCGAAATTATTCTTTCTTCAAGGGTTTCAGGATTTCATCTACAATCTTAAAATGTCTGACAAATATCATTAAGATACACAGGCAAAATGAAAGACAAATAGAGTTCCAAAATGGGATGAAATAATAAATTAACAATTCTAAATTAATTTTTCAGTTTTATCCTTTCAGACAACATGATTAAGTAAATACTTGGCTCATGAGTTTTCTGCCCTCTGATTTTTGCCAGAGGAAAATAAATACATAAATAAATAAAATTTTATTCATTATTTAAATCATACATATAAAAGAAGAATTTGGTACATTGAAGGTACAACTTCAGTCCACATCTTGCTTTATCCAGAGTTTCGGAAGCTTTGTTTTTCCTCATTTTCTCCAGTCTGGAGCTTTTCTCGCAGTGATCAATGGTCCTGACTAGCCCAGACATACAGCGGGAGCATTCCTGACTCACCAGACACGTGTCTGGTCAGGGACCTGCACTCACTTCCCATGGGGGTTGCTCCCAAAAGCCCTGCTGCCCTACGGTCCCTCCTTATTCCTCTCTTGGTGAAAATCCTGCTATATCATTTGTCTCTTGTGGCTTTCTTGCACTGCTCTTCTGCTGCAACACAGCTTCCAGCTGCCAGTGGGGTTCACATAAAACTTCAGAGTAATACAGTCTGCTGGTTAAATAAGGTCAATGGAAAATGGAAAAGGTGAGAGGAAAAAAGTAACTTGTATATGGGAGAAAGTAAATGGGCAGACCTGAGGCAAATGAATCATAGGAACACAGGATAATTCGGGTTGGATGGGACCTCAGGAGGTCTCTGGTGTGGTCTCCCACTCAGGACAGGGTCAGCCCCAGGCCAGACCAGGCTGCTCAGGGCTGTGTCCAGTTGGGGCTTGACACCTCCCATGACAGAGCCTGCACAGCCTGCCCTGGCAGCCTGCCCTAGGGAGGAATGTTTTTTCTGATACCCAACTCTGAGCCTCTTGTTTCCACTTATGCATGTTGTCTCATACCCTCCTGATGCATACCCCTGTAAAGAGCCAGGCTGCCCTGTCTCAGCAACCTCTCCATGGCTGCGTACAGGCAGCCGCTCCGGGCCCTTCCCGGGATGAGCAAGCCTGGCTCCCCTGGGGGTTCCTCAAGCCCTGACTATCCTGGGGCCTCCACTGAACTTGCCCAGGCTAGTCCATGTCTTTTCTGTCCTGGCAGACCCAAAAGGGGACGCAGTGTACCTTGAAGAGGTCTAACGAGTGCCGAGCAGAGGGGGATAGTCACTTTCCTCGATTTCTGGGCAGCCCTGCCTGCGGCTGGCCCTCTTTGCTGTGGCCCAAGCCCAGCTTGCTGCCAGCCGCAACCCATGGAGCCCTCCCCACACCAGCACGGGCGCAATGAGGTCAGAGCCAACCGGGGCAGCACTGCCCGCGTGGAAGGGCATCACCTTCACACCTGAGTGGGCTGGAGATGCTGCCCTGAAGAAGGGAGAGCTGGTGGGGCTAGTAAAGGAAAGGCAAACACACGGGCAAACTGGAAGAAGGTGGACCACAAAATGCAGCCGAGGGGGCAAAGAGTGATTTAAGTGACCAGTGTATAAAAGCAGGTCCCATGAAATAAAGGTTCTTTCTTTAAAACCTAACTCATCTACCCAGAACTGAAGAGAAATGAATAACCCAAGCTTGTAGCATGGGTTCCAATATGCAAATAGAGAAGAATGACAAAACCACTGTCACTTGGAACATTTTCTGATTTGGTTTGTGATTAAAACGTTTTAAACATGGCTCTGTCAGAAGATCAATGCAACATGGCTTCTTAAAATCTTATTTGCCTAACAGCAGTACGGAGTTGAAAAATACAAAAAGCATTCAGATGTCAGAGTTTTTCTTTAACTTGAAGACACAATGAGACCACCTTTGGCCTTTACATCTCAGAAGAATATGGTCTGACTCGAAAAGCTAGTACCTTCACCCGAGTCGGTCAAAAAGGGGGTTTTGCAAAACCGCGCCAATGTTTTTCTCTGTGAAAACTCCGCGTGCCCTTTCTGTGATTCAGAAGTACAAAGGCCAAGCCCACACGCAAAAGAAAGTCCACTCCCTGATTTCCAGAGCAGTCTTCACCATGAAAAGGGTACCTACGTGCGCATCTAAACGTGCGCCAAAATACTACTCCCCAAACCCCCTTGGTGACAAGATTGCCTCTCCAGACATACTCAGCGCGCCACGTTAGACGACTCATACAGGCAAATTCTTGTTTTACGG